TGGTCAATTAGAATCTGACTTTTATGGAAAATTGACTGATATTATTCAATTGGAGTATACTGGCTTACCAATAATGAAACTAATTCTTTTCAAGTGTGATTGGTTTGATAATACTCCTAATATCGGAACAAGAGTAAATGATAAGTATGGGGTTGTTGAGGTAAGGCAATCAAGGAGGTATAATAAGGCTTATGACCCATTCATACTTGCACAACAAGCTGAGCAAGTTTACTTCACACCATATCCTGAGGGACATAATGATTGGCTGGCCATAATCAAGACAAAGGCTCGTAGTAGAATAAATGATAATATATTAATTCAAACTGAGCAAGAGGTTCCATACCAGGATGATGAGGTTGTAGGGCTTCAAGTCATGTTACATATTGACTCAAATGTCATTGATGATTCTCTAGTTGATAATGATGTTGGTGGAGAAGAAGTAGATATGCAATCATTTGATCAACCAGACTTAGTTGATGAATTTATTGAAGATAAATACATATCAAGTGAGGATGATAATGATGATGAGAATGAGAGTGATTTCAATGATACAGATGAACCTTAGGTAATTTATACATTAAATAATTATTTGTATAATTCTTTTGATGTGTAGAATGACTTAAATATAATTTTATGCATAGAATATCTATTATGTTATATGATTTAAAGTTTAAATTTATTCTTAATAATTTGAGTCATTTATTTATTACAAGTCTATTGGATGAAAAAATAAAATTTTCTCTTAAATGTGATATATGTAACAATTTCTACATTCAGATAGCAGATAGAGGTAGAGGTAGAGGTGGTGGTCGTAAAGCACCTCGTGGTCGAGGTTCAAGCTCCGAGTCATTGTTACCCACATAAAGAGACCGACTCCCTATAGTTCATGAAGAACCAATTCCTAATACTCATTCTAGACAGGACACACCTTTAACAGGAGAATGTTCATCGACTCCACAATACCCACCTCCTCCCATTCCTGAGTCTGGGGATTCATCTAACCAAAGGGTGACATTGAGCGGAAAGAGACTTTGGGAAGAAGAGGGGTATGGGGGTGCGGGGAAGGAAGGTGCGGGGAAGGGGGGTGCGGAGAAGAGAGGTGTAAATTTAGAAATTTAAATTTTTTTTAAAAGAGTAATTTAAACATTTTATATATTTTTTTAAAAAAAAAAGAGGTGTGTTTATACGAGAGTGGAGGTGTTTAACATCTCCCTTCTATCAACATATCTCCTAAAGTAGCCCATTACTGTGTTAGGTTCAACATTCAAAAGTGGCCCTTCAAAATCGAACCTAAGATCAAGTTTAACTAACTTGAGGACAATAGAAAAGTTAATTGAACCAAAAGAAAATTAAAGGTTATAAGTAAAATGTTTTTCTTTATAAATTGAAAATTAAATTTTTCTTTCCTCCCATACTCGCAAATTTATGCCCATTTGAGAATAAGGCCTTGGACACTCGTCCACCTTGACCATGTTTACTGGATTTATCAAGTGAAAGTCACGTCCAGCAAGTTCGAATAATTTATTGATTATCAATTTGTAACACTATATGGACAAGTCCATAAAAAAGAATCTCCAATTTTTAATTAATGAATACAAATACCAAATCATTTTGTGATAATAAATTTTAGTACTTTGATTTCTTCTTGTCCAGTGAGTTATTTGTACCCTATGAATGTGTGATTTAATTATTATAGTTTACCATATGAAAAATTCTTTTTATTTTTCAAAGACCAA